AGGCGGCAGCAGTAATGCAGTCACTGTACTGGACTGTAGTGGTGAAGAGGGAGCTGAGCCATAAGGCGAAGCTCTCTGTTTACCGATCGGTCTACATCCCGACCCTGACCTATGGTCATGAGCTGTGGGTAATGACAGAAAGAATGAGATCGCGAATACAAGCGGCGGAAGTGAGATTTCTTCGCAGGGTGGTGGGCTACACTCTATTTGATAGGGTGAGGAGCTCGGCCATCCGGGAGGAGCTCGGAGTAGAGCTGCTACTCCTCCGCATTAAGAGGAGCCAGCTGAGGTGGTTCGGGCATCTGATCCGGATGCCCCCTGGACGCCTCTCGGTGGGGGTGTACCAGGCACGGCTTACCGGAATAAGACCCCGGGGTCATCCTAGGACCCACTGGAGGGATTATATCTCCAAGTTGGCCTGGGAGCGGCTTGGGATCCCCGGGAATGAGCTGGAGGAAGTTGCGGGGGACAGGGTCATCTGGGATTCTCTGCTCTCCCAACTGCTACCCTATCTGGACTAAGTGGTTAATGATGATGATGATGATGATAATGATGATGAACTTCATAAGTGAGGAAAATGTTTATATAGTGAGCACTATAAACTTAATCAGATCTGATCAGGTACATAGTAGAGACTTTAACTTAAAAGCTCAAGTGATCACAGAACTATAGTCTGAGACGACTTAAGCTTCGTCTTTTAAACTTAAAAGCTGCACTTTTTTAGAAAATAATGAATCACAAACAGGTGAAAGACTGAGATTCAGAACTGAGTCTGAGGTTTGAGGTTTGTTGTGGAATTTTGATTTTTCTTTTATTTATTTCCTTTTAATTATGACAGATGCTGTTTAAATAAAGCTGCTGTTAATGTTGCTGCTCAGCTTAGTATAAACCCAGTATTATATATTTACACAACACAGGACCAGGACTACATATAAAAATGAAAGAATTAATTATGTCTTTAATAAGTTATTAACTGCTTATTATTTATATATTATTTAAGTGTTCATTAAGCATTAGTTAATTCTTAGTAGCTGAATATGTACTGAACTGTAACTGAGTTCACTGTTAACTTATAGTTTAGTTTATTAGTTCAGAGCTTATTTACTTGTTAATTGTGTAATAACCAATGATTTTTCACTGTTAATGAACTGATTAGTGTGTTTACTCATATAAATAATTACATAAGAACTAACTAGTACTTTTGAATTAGTCTCGTTAATGATCTGTTAATTAATCTACTTTCTGCTTATTTGCTATGACTTTATCTCCTGATCTTCAAAATGTCTCAAATATGTCTTACAGTCACATCTGCAGGACAATATCACAGAATATCAAAATCCTGCAGTATGTTTGTTTCTGTTACGCTGTGTTAGATGTGAGTGTGAGGTGTGTGAGACTTTCTGACAATCTGAAAATAATGTCATAGTAAAGAAGCAAAAATACAGTTTACACACTTTACAGTCTCAAATTGTTTGTTCACAGAGTCACAACTGAATAATCCTTCAGTAAAATTTCTTCCTCTTCAGGAGTTTGATAATCTGATATTTTGTGCTTCAAATATGTCGACAGATTTTGAGACACTGTGAATATTCAAGAGATAAAGTCACAGCACAAAAGCAGAAACACCAACACCTCACATTCTGTGGGTTCTGTAAAATGTATAATTCAGATTGTGTGATAATCTGTTATTATAAGTATCATTTCTTTAGATGTTTTTGAAGCAGCATTAGTGAATAAGAAGGTGATTCAGTGCTGTCACAGCTGCTGTCTCAAGCAGATAATGCAGTCTCACTGTGTGTCTGTTATGCTGTGTTTAAAAGATAATCATTTAAGAAGTTATTTGGTAAATCGTCTCAAAGTTCGGCATTTTGAGACGTTTAATGATTGGAAGGTAACGCGGTAGCAGAAAAGCACAAATTCACCCTCTATCTTTCTCTTATTTACGGATTTCTTTTACACAATGTTAAGTTCTAAAATGGTTCAGACTTTCTAAAATAGATTCCCTAAAAACACAACTCGGACAGTCTCTGTGTTTCTGTTTAATCCTTTTATTCAGCATTTATACATATACAGATTCTATACAGAGAGATTCTCAGTGTTATCTATCATCCATCTACAGGCACCAGAATGTAACTGCAGCACCATTTAAGGTGGAACAGAAAATTCTCATAAGAAGTTGGTGAATAAGAAGCTACTTCAGCCTCGTAGCTGCACAAGATGTCTCAGTATGAACTGGTAACTATATGGGGTTTGTAGTTTATCTGCTGCTCTAAGCAGATTCACTGCATGAATGAATTAAATGGGAGCTACACAGAGACTCTCCTCCTCCACTGCCTCCAAGTGTGTCTTCCAGCAGGCTGGACTCTAAATGGGTTTGTGTTCTGTTAAATGCTGTTATTGGTCTAATATAAATGTATTCAAGCAGGTTTAATGTGAACTCCAGCCGGTCCAGTACGTTTGTTCACGCTTTGTGTTTGACTTGTTAAAAACTCAGTGTTGATCTCAAAGCTGTGAAATGTTGGCCTTTTAATATAAATAGTTTTATATAAAGCAAATATAAAACATCATCAAGTTTGAAAGTGCATTTTTTTTTTTGATGTAAAAAGAAGTTTCAAAGCCTTTCCATCTTTAATGTGACTTTATTGCAGCTGACAACAATACATATGATTGACAGGAGGTTTGGACCAATGAAAATATGACATGGGAGGAAATGCATTACTTCTGACCTGCCCCCTGCTGTCTTTCCCAACGTTCTGTATAAATTAAGTTTGACGTAAAAGCAGTTTAGACAATTAACACATCATTAACTAGTGTTTATTCTCAAGTATAATAAAATCTTGTGACAATGTTGTCTTACATTCCTTACTGAGAATTTTGTTTTGTGACTGATAATTGTAAGATTTCAGCCCAAAACACTGAAGACTTTTCAGTCATGTTTGGGTTTGAGCTGAAAGTGTTCCCTCCAGTGAGTCTCTCCAGTGAGTCTCTCCAGTGAGTCTGTCCAGTGATTGGGGTGAGACTCCAGCTGTCTTCAACTCCAACTCTTCATGGGGTTCTGCATTCAGTCAAACTGATTATCACAGTAATTTTGTAATATTGACATTGCTTTGGAAATGCAGCACCTTCAGAAAGTTTTAAGGCACTTTTTACACATTTTATTGTTAGAGCCTTAAAGCGAAATTGATTGAATTCAACTTAACTGTTTGTCATCAGTCTATATTCAGTACTGCATAACGAACTGAAATCATGCTTTCATGCATTTTTGGAAGCTACTTAAGTAAAGCTGAAAGCCCATTTTTGTTCAAGGCTCCTGTTGTTTTTTTTATTCACTTTACACATCTTGATCATTCTTATGTTCTTGGATGCAGCTCAGAGTAGACTTTAATATCAGAAATCAACTTTCACCTGAAAGTAAAATGTGTTACTTATTCACCCACATGTTTATAGAGTGTCCTTTTGTTATTAATATTATTTATGCTGTGTCAAAAATGTTTGTTTCTTGTACAAATGAATGTTGGTAAAGGGGTGAGTGTTTTCAGTGAAGCAGTGGAAGAGAAAAAATACACTAAGGAGAAAGAAAAGCCGTCCCACCATGAAAGACCAGCCCAGTGGCCCCTTGAGACCAGAGCGGTTTACAGCTTTGAGAGGTACAGAGCTTTTTATAAGACACAGCAGGAGTATTCAACTAAAATTTACAAAGGTTCACTTACATCAGATTTCTTACCTTGAAAGGCAAAAAACTAAATTAATTATAAAATTAAACTAAATTTAAAAGTAATAAAGGTTATTCTTAATCAGCATTTCATGCTAATGTGCTATCAGGCATTGATGAGCACCAATATGAATCTTTCATGTTGAGCTTTAGATTTATTTGTGCTCAGAACTGAATTTTGTGGGCAGGTGTGAAGTCGCAGCACAAGACTGCTACAGAAGACATGCTGGTTCAAGATTATGTCACTGAAATATGATCATTTTTACACACGTTAATCAGCTTTGCTACAGAATTTTTTTCTCTGTTTGGTTCTGTCTGCTGAAATGCTTTATTGAGTCCACATTTGACCTGCGGTCCAACAGCTGACGAGCCCTAAAATACAGGCTCTGTTTTGGGCTGCTGTCTTTAAAGCAGTGGTGTTTTGCTCCTTACTGCTCTCTGATGTGACGTGACTTCTTCTTCCAAGCGTTGTACTAATTCTATATACCATCTGTTTGTGGAAAGAAATTAGATTTGTTATCTACTTCTTTTTTTTGTTTGTTTACAGATTTGTATTGTTCTGCTAATTATTTGAAGCTGTGAGGCTGAACTGGACGAGGATATTTATACATGTGATTTTGTACATTTATATGTAACCAGATTGGTTTTATTTTACTGATCACAAACATTTAAACAACAACCCCAAACATTTGAATATAAATGTACAGAATGTAAGGAAAGTTCTCTACACTTTCACGTTCATACTGACTTTGAACTTTCTGACACCAGGTTTGATTTTGGGCTCCAAAATGGCTTTTTATTCTCACTGTGTAAAAGTTTTACACAGCTGAGAAAATTATATATAAAAAGCTATTTATCAGAAAAGTCAACATTTGTTTGTTCATAAAACACTACTATTCCACTAAAAACTAATATTATGAATACAATAAGTGCTGATTTTATGTGTATTAGTATGTTAAGTAAGTGTGTTATAAAACAGATCCTAAATCTGCTGTTTTTGAAGCAAATAGTCTGTATATACACATCCTTTTGATAACTTTGCTGCTAGTATGAACCACTGTGTACATTGACAGATAAATTCAGAACTGGTTTAGTTAAAACTGAGGGGCAGATAATTAATCTTCTTAACTAGAATGAGTCTGAGCAGCTAAAGATACTAAAAGGCTAAACAGCTTCTCCATTAATATTTGAATTAAATTACTGACTGTATGATTCACTGTAAACCTGCAATATAAAAAGAATATGTAAGAATGTGTCATTTGAATGTCTTAATGTGTTCTATGTCTTTCAGTCAGATCTGCCTTAAAGACCCACCTGTGTGGGCGCGGACCCCAGTAATTTACATATTCTTTAGAAACACAGTTATGATACACTAGCTATTGAAACGTTTCATTATGTATGTATTGATGATTACGCTTACAATAAAATTATTCTCTTTAATACGGTTGTCAGTCAGAAAAATTCAGAGTATCAGAGAGACGAGTTCCAGCTGAATGTGACACTGAAGTGTAGGTCTATGAAATGTGACACCAGGGAGGAGAGAACTGACATATTTCTCAGGTGAAGAAAAGCTCAGGCAAAGCTGAAAGTGTTTCTCCAGTGTTCAACACCACTTGGTGGTTTGAGAGGAACAATATTGTTTTTTGGAAGCCATGATGACATTATGATATGAGATATAATACACACGAAAGGACGACACAAGAGCCTTTTTCTAGGATCTTGTTTGTGGAGGTAAGAGCTTTATATGAATATTTTAGTAACTTTTGTAAAGAAGAAGGAAAGAGATCAACAGCTAAATCAGCAGCTGCTGCAGTTCACATTAATCTGACTCTCATTAAAGTCACTTTCTTTCTTCTTCACCAGTAAAATTAAAAGTAATTGTTGACTCTGTGTATCTTGTGTCGTCTGCTGAGCTCCTGCCTCTGTGAATGTGTACACAGTAAATGAGTTTAGCTGCTTCTGTATTTTAATTTACTGCTAATTCATGATGTCCACATTTGTCTGTTTTTAATTACAGCTTTTACTGGCAGTTTCTGTGAGTTGTTCTGAGCTGCTTTTTGTACAGAGTTGTTCTTCCTTTTAAGTCTGACAGGTTTTATTAAACCAGAAAAGCAGGATGAGCCTCTCTGAGGAATGTGAGGAAGACAGTGCTACCTCCAACAAACACTCAGAGTAAGAGATTTTTGTTTTTGTTGTTGTTAATGCAGTGAGATCATGTAATATTTTTTAGCAATATATGTAATTTAACTATATTTAATTTAATTTAATGGGTCTCCATGCTTAATCCAGAGGTGAGCTAGTGGTCAGCAGATTACAAGTAACATGATGATTATTGCTTACTAGAGGCAACTAGATTAAGTAGCATTTTTACTGGACTTGTCCTTTAAAGACTATTTAAATACTGTATGCTAACCTCTTTCATTATTTACAGTCTAATCTTCATTAAGAAATCAGACTATCCAGCACCCAGCTGTGTGTCCATGAAGAGTGATGAGTCTATTCGTATTCCGCCAGGGTTCAAAGATGAACACCCCTCATCTGGACACAGGTACCGGCTAATCAGATTTGAGCTGTTGCTGAGAGAAATATTAAGTTATTCTGCAGCTTTTAGCAGCAAAAGAATTTAATTTTTATTTCTGTTTTGATTAAGTAAGTAGTTTCTTTCACACATTTAGAATGTAAATCAAAGTGCTTTCAATGAATGTGATTAAAATTGTGTGATTAAGAAGAATCTTTAAGAAACATGAAAATGAAATAAAATATTTAATAGGAAATAAAAGCTAATTATCAAGTACACCAAAATTAAGAGAAATTTAAAAAGAGTAATGGAATTAAAATTAAAGTCACTACAATATTAGTCTGGCCTAAATGTGAAAAGCCAAGAATAAAGACTAAGTAAATAATTTCTTGTACAGTCAAATCCAGATAAAGAGATCAAACTCTGCAGTAACCAGCGGTGTGTCTATGAAGAGTGATGAGTCTTTGGATCCTCGACCAGTGTTCAGAGATGGAGGCCCCTCATCTGGACACAGGTAACAGCTCCTCACAGTTGTGGACGGAACAGCTGATTCGTCCTTTCCAGTAGAAAAGCTCAGACCAGTAATATGAACTGATCACATCATTAATTTCAAAATTAATATTACCCAGAAGATAAAGAGTTTACAGTCTTGTTTTTCTGTCAGTGATGCTTTTTTATATTTGTCTATATTACAGTGTAGCGGTATATATATATGAAGCAATAATCTTCAAATAGAACCTTTTAAGGACAGTGCATATGTGAGAAATATAGAATTAATGACTTTTAGACTGAAAATAAAAGCATATGTTTCTTCCACTGTATCAGTATCTGTTACAAAATATTCCAGAATGTGGGTCAAGCTGTAGTTATGACTGTGATCTCTGATTTATTTTATACACAAAATAATTATTTTAGTGAAATTCAATACTGAAGTTCACCCCATTCTTTAATGAAAGCACACGGCATGTATAATTTGTGTGTCTACAGTTTTCTGCAGGGTGCGAGAGACAGAACAGAAGAGATCATCACAGATAAAGAGTAAGATCACAACCAGCATACAGAGACATTGTAAACACAACTTGTCCTGTTACCTCTTAATCAATTTTACAATGAATGTACAGAGAGTACATGATAGAGGATATTATGTTTGTGAATAAAGGGGAATTTGGTTTATGAATTTGGGGGAAATACAAATAGCAGCAAAATGTTCATCTTAGAAAGCTTATTTTAAATTGTACTGATAATTGTTCCTCTGTCTCACCACATGTGTCACCATTTCACAGACATGGTCATGCTTCTGACACAGTGAAAGTCCAAGAAAACTTCAAACTAAATCTGAAACAGAAGTTTCAGTGTCTGAATGAGGTGATAACAAACCAGGAAACCCCAACACGTCTCAGTGAGATCTACACAGAGCTCTACATCACAGAGGGAGACAGTGGAGAGGTCAATAATGAACATGAGGTCAGACAGATCGAGGCAGCATCCAGGAGAACAGACACAGAGGACACACCAATCAAATGCAATGACATCTTTAAATCCTTATCTGAACAAGACAAACCCATCAGAACTGTGCTGACAAAGGGAGTCGCTGGCATTGGAAAAACAGTCTCTGTGCAGAAGTTCATTCTGGACTGGACTGAAGGGAAAGCAAATCAGGATGTCCACTTCATATTTCCACTTCCTTTCAGAGAACTGAATTTGATGAAAGACCAAACACTCAGTTTGGTGGATCTTCTTCATACACGGTTTAAGGAGATTAAAGAAATGGAAATATCTGGATCTCACAAAGTTCTGTTCATATTTGATGGTTTGGATGAGTGTCGTTTAGCTCTAGATTTTCAGAGCACTGTGAGATTGGATGATGTCACTCAGTCATTCTCAGTGAAGGTGCTGCTAACAAATCTGATCAAGGGAAATCTGCTTCCCTCTGCTCTCATCTGGATCACCTCCCGACCTGCAGCAGCTGATCAGATCCCCTCTGAGTGTGTGGATCGACTGACAGAAGTACGAGGGTTCAGTGACCCACAGAAGGAGGAATACTTCAGGAAGAGAATCAGGGACCAGAGTCTGACCAATGGAATCATCACACACCTGAAGACATCAAGAAGCCTCTACATCATGTGCCACATCCCTGTGTTCTGCTGGATTTCAGCCACTGTTCTAGAGAGAATGTTGGGTGAAGCAGAGAGCGGAGAGACCCCCAAAACTCTGACTCAAATGTACACACACTTCCTCATCATTCAGACAAAGATCATAAGAGAAAAGTACATAAAGAAGCAGAAGACAGATGAAGAAATACTTCTAAAACTGGGACGACTGGCTTTTCAGCAGCTGATGAAAGGAAACCTGATCTTCTATGATGAAGATCTGAGAGAGTGTGGCATCGATGTTAAAGAAGCATCAGTGTACTCAGGTGTGTGTACACAGATCTTCAGAGAGGAATCTGGGCTGCACCAGAGTAAAGTGTACTGCTTTGTTCATCTGAGCATTCAGGAACATCTTGCAGCTCTATATGTGCATCTGACCTTCATGAACCAGAAGAGAAATGTGCTTAAACAGAGTCAGTCCTCTAAACTGAGGATCCTCAGAAGAAAACAGATTACAGACGTACACAAGAGTGCTGTGGATCAGGCCTTACAGAGTAAGAATGGACATCTGGATCTCTTCCTTCGCTTTCTTTTGGGTCTCTCACTGGAGTCCAATCAGACTCTCATACAAGACTTAGTGACACAGACACAGAGCAGCTCCCACAGCAAAGACAAAACAGTTAAATACATCAAGAAGAAGATCAGAGAGAATCCCTCTGCAAAGAAATTCATCAACCTGTTCCACTGTCTGAATGAACTGGATGACCGTTCTCTAGTTGAGGAAGTTCAGCAGTGCCTGCAGTCTGACAAACTAAACCGAAGAAAACTCTCTTCTTCACAGTGGTCAGCTGTGGTCTTTGTACTGCTGACATCAGGAGATAATCTGGATAAATTTGACCTACAGAAATATAACAGATCAGATGATGTTCTTCTGAAGCTGCTTCCTGTAGTTGCAGAATCCAGAACAGCTGAGTAAGCAATACTGAATAAAACTGACACAATATTAGAAACATGTTGAATCCAAAATCCAACAGATTTTCTTCATATGTCTGAACATTTTGTATAGTTTATTCATCGTTGTGTGCCTGTATTTGATATTCAGCAGCATTAATAGGTTCATAGGTAACTCACATCAGTCAAATTAATGCTAGAATTTGTATGCTATTTTCTTCAGTCTTTCAAGTTGCAGTCTGCCAAAGAAAAGCTGTGCAGCTCTGGCCTCAGTGCTCAGTTCAGAATCCTCCAGTCTGAGAGAGCTGAATCTGTCTCTGAATAAACTAGGAGATTCTGGAGTGAAGCTGCTCTCTGCTGGACTGGAGAATCCTCTCTGTAAACTGGAGACACTGAGGTAAGATCATCTTTCTTTAACACGTCCTGGTCCTCAGAAAAATTTATAGTTAGATAAGACTTTCATGTTTGTTAATTAACTATGTATAAACACGTATTGCATAATTATTTATATATTAAGTTCCTATATTTTGATCTTTAAAAAGTGTAAAAATCACAGCACTGGTGCGATTGAATATTGCAGATACTTATATATTTGTTTATACGCAGTGCAGGTGCTAATCTGGCACAGAGCATCTTAACTGTAAAATCATCAACATTGTATTTTTTAAGTTCAGGTTTACACTGAGAGAAATCCTCATTTTCAGTAAGCAACAAATAGATCACAGATTAAGAAATAGTCTTGTATAACAGCAAAACCTTGTGAGTGTGACGCATCGGGAAGATTCGGACTTCATTTCCCAGCATGCATGTGGAGATCACATGTCCACATGCAAAACAACTTCCCTTGGACTCGGAAACCGAAACAGACTCCTTTGCCCACAATCCTTCAGGAGATCACATGACATCAGACGATAGCACACGCACCTATCAGCTCTCCCGATCGCCTGAATACTAATGTGGTGCACCTGTGTATCTTGTCATATGACCGTATTAGTTCAGTATATAACCCCGGGCTTTAGATGTAGACATTGCGAGGTATTGTTTATTCCAAGAACTTACCGAGCGTTATATTTCTGATTGTCTTTGCCTGTTATGACCTGTGCTTTGTTTCCCTGACCTTGTTTTTTGCCTAACCCCTTGGTACTTCTGCCTGCTGTTTGTGGATCTGTGTTTTTGACGTTTTGGCTTGTTCTTTGACCACGATTTTTGCTTTATCCCTTTGATCTTGACTGCCTGGTATTATTATCACGATTGTGATCTGGCTGGCTTTTTTGGATTTGACCCACGCCTGTTTTCTGACCACGGCTTTGCCTGACAATAATAAAACAACTGAATTCTGTTGAATTGTCACAGTGAGAAACAATAAAAAATATGGTATTTAAGAGAGAGTGGGGTACAGTATGTAACTGTATTATTCCATACATAATAACATAATACATATTTAACACTAGCCATTAAAGTTTTTAGATCAGATTTGCTGTCATTTAGGATGAGAGAAATATGTTAACATTTATAGTGTGTTCTGTTCTGGAGGCAGCAGCCGAACTAGTCACTGCCTTCAAAGGCTCTTCTCTGTCTCTCTGGGCAGCATTTTAGTTGAACAGGAACTTTAGCAGGCATCGCATTCAGGACCCTCTACAGAACCATCACACGTCACTGAGCTGTACATGTTTTATCTGTTTACTCACAGTCACTTGTGATCTGACACTCACCTCTGACTGTAAAGGTGGATCACCTCAGTGTATAAAGACCCCAAATCTGCAGCAGCTGTTTTACTGCATTGACACTGATGTGTGAATTTACTGTGTATGAAGAACAGAGTGATTTAAGGAGACGTATCTGCCGTTAAATACTTGGTACCTCAGATAAATACTGATACACTCTCTGTCCTTCTCCACCTTAAGGAAGCTGCTTTATTTCTAACACATAAAGGATGAAAACTACTTATAATTTTGTACAAGATGCACTCAGAAAAAAACAATCACTCACAGTTAGCTAATCTGGCTAAGATGCATTTTATTTTCTGTTTCTGTTTTGAGTTTTGAGCTCCTAGTCTGAATTTTATCAACACTCACCCAACACTGATGTGACTGTGATAAGCACAGCAATACAAGATAAACAGAGCAAAAATAAGCATTAGCAGTATTTATTACATTTGAGGACTTCAACATCAAATTAAATCAAATCAAATTTATTGTCACATTGTCACATTTACACAGGTGTGAAGGTGAGTGAAAATCTTAAGTGCATGGCCCCCTTGTAGTACTTAAATTAACAATATATATACAGTATATTTATATAAATTTGATTGGAAACATATACACAAATACTCACGATATACACACATATACACACCTCACGATTCGATTCGATTACGATTCAGAGGGCTGCGATGCGATTATAAAACGATTATCGATGCATCTCAATGCATCTTTCTTTTCTATACATGATTTCTATTTTCTTACTGTCTGAGGACTTGGTACTTTTAACGCTAAGTATTTGTAATGATCCATAATGCATTTATGTCCAATATCTTTTATTAATAAAACAAATGCAAGTGATGTGGCAAGTGAACTGGAAGGCTCTCATTCACTGCTCTTGTTTGGAGAAGATGCTGCCACTCTTTAGTACTCAATCTGTACTAAAATGCGCTGTTACGGTGAAATAAGATCCAGTGGTAAAGGATGACCACGCAGCACATTATATATTCTTTAGTGATTTTATAATTTTGGTTTTGGTCTCGTGATAGAGGGTGGGGAGCGCGAAAGACTGCAGGTCACGTAGCAACGAGGTTTTGCTGAGCTAGTAGCGAACGAAAAAGGAAAAGAGAAAGACAGACGAACATTTGGAGATGAATGGACTTGTTCGCATTTATAAGCAGCGCAGTTGGTTTCCTGGTGCGTTAAATCTGCAACGAGAGACTGTCAAACACTAAAAAGTTGTGAAGATGAAGTTGCTTCTCTTTCTAATTTTCCTGTTCCACCTTAAATGGTGGAACACCGATTTACATTCGGTGCCTCACTCAGAATTTAAGGTGGAACGGGAAAGTTCAGCAAGAAGCTGGCAAATGAGAACCGACTTCAGGCTCGTAAAATAGCAGAAAGCTGAAAGACATTTTACAAGAAACTATTCAACATTTGAGGAAAGGTTTTCTGGCGGAGTTGGAAGAAAAGCAGCTAAAGCTTAAAGCAGAGCAGAGTAAGTCCGCGTTTTCATTTATATTGTTTAGCCTCTACTAGGACATTAACACATACTGAGACATACTGGGCATAAATGTTGTGGCTCCCAAGGTGGTTTGATTTTTGTTGAAAGGACAAAATGGCTCTTCTTAACATTTGGGTTGTGTCTCCTGACCTAACCTGGCTTTTAATGCAGAGGGAGCCGGTCGGATTTCTCGCTCATCCAGTTGTGTTTTTGTTATGTGCCGCCACAGACTGTCCGGGCGCTGCACTTACCCACTTCCAAGTTCCGCTCTTTGTGTTCCGTCAACATTACACTATAAATTAAATATTTAGAAAATCGTTTTTTGACATTTGTGAATCGATTCAGAATCGTCCACGTCTGCATCGCAATGCATCTAAGAATCGATTTTTGGCACTATTCAAGTACACAATTTTGTACACGAATATTAGTTATGAAATAAAAGCTATGATATGTACAGTTGTACACTTTTCCTTATATGCAATATGTGAGTCTGAGGTTGATAAATAGATGAGATGCAGGTACACAAGGGATAGAATATTTATATATCGATATTCCAGATTACAAGATATGGATAGAAGATGTACAATCTATATGTACAGGTATAGGTTGGCTCAGGGGCGATTCTAGGATTAGAGCTTTAGGGGTGCTGTCCCCCTTTTTTTTTTCTCATAATATCTTCTATCATTCTACAACACTAATTAGCTAATACACATACGGACAGTACAAGTCTAGAACCTTGGCTTTAATATCAACGCATCGGCCTACGAATGGCACAACAGCCAGCTTCTCTCACTCGAATTCAAACAGTGGACGGTCGTTGATTGACACCCTGTATTATTAGCTTGCTAGACAAAAATATGTAAGATTGCTAACAAGAACAACATAACGAGTGATCTGTGATTCAGTGCAGCAACAATGAGGACTGCTGCTAATGACTGTCATGTCAAGTCAAAGTTTATTTATATAGTGCTTTTTACAACGGGTGTTGTCACAAAGCAGCTTTACAGAAAAATCCGGGTCTGAGCCCCCATGGGCGTCACCAATGACGACAGTGGCAAGGAAAAACTCCCTAAGAGCAAGAGGACGAAACCTTGAGAGGAACCAAGACTCAAAAGGGGAACCCATTCTCCTCTGGTCGACACCGGATAGCGAACAGCATTAGTATAAAATATTAGAATACAAAACGGGGAAAAACAGAGAGGTTTGCACAGCGTTGTATAGTGTGTGGTATGAACACCTCCATGGTGGTGAAACTGGTCCAATGTGTTGGTGCTGAGTGTTAAAGTAAAGAAATAATCCTCATCTGCGCTACTAACTGGAGCCACCTCACTACAGACAGTCAAACCGTAACCGGCTCTAGTGCGTGTGTGCGCGCAGCGTAGCTACTCAGCACAGCTACTGCACGGCTCCGGGAAGAGCGGGGCAGGGGAAGAGTAGGAGAGAGAAAGTGGATCATAACATTTGCTTATCAGAGACAAACTTCCGTTTCTAAGAAAAACAACAAAAAGGGTCTTTTTACTCTTATTTTTAGGGATGCTAGGACTCAGTTTAGGGTCCTAGTTTTCAGTGTTGGGAGCGGGAGGAAATTAGACCCCTTCAGGCGGGAGCGGGCAGAAGCACGCATATAGAGAAATTCCGCAAATTAATGAATAGCCTAAATAAAGTACAACGATCACAAAAACACATATGTGAACAATATCACAGTAAAACAGTTAAAATGAATAAACTAATTCTCGAGCAGCCGATCACATAAACAACACACAGATTCTCTTAGGTCTGATTCACACATACTGCTTCTTGCTTTTCATTTCGGCACTCATGTTAAGTGGTCAGCACTTTCACATAGGCTGCACGTGCGAAGCGGCAGAGTCGCAGACGTCGTACTGAAGCACCCTGGTGTTTAGAGGATAGACCTGGGGCAGATAAGCCACGAAAATAAATGAAAATTAAACAGAAGACCATATAAAAACGTTAAAAGGCGATTTTTATGTAATTCACGACGAAATAAACATTCCATGCTGCAGACAGATTCCCCGGCTGGTCTACAGGCTTGAAACTTTTGCCTGATCAGAAATCAGAATGCTGTCCAGGATAAACAAATATACCATGTACATTTATAAATGATATTTCTGTTGAGCAGAGTGACTGATGTGACCATTTATTTGTCTGAAAACAGGAATGCCTGTGTAAGTTTCTTGCTGCTCTGCAGCGTAAACGCTGTATGAATGAATGGTCAGTGCATCCAAACTGTAACGCTTGCCACTTCACTCACCCCACGCAGAGGCAGCATGTGTGAATCAGGCGTTAGATGATGGAGCCTTAAGTCTGACAAACACAGCTGCCCAGCAAAACACCAAAAATAACCACTCTGTAGTTTAATTCCAGTTTTGTGTTTACTGGCAATAAATGGCATTTGGTGAAGTTACTCGCAGTGAGCCTGATGACCATGACAGCTGTGTTATTTAAGCAGAGGATAATGTGTGTGTGATTAGACAGATATTGGATGTGTGTGGAAAAAAAACAGTCCCTCGCAGACCTTTAGATCAGAGTGAGACCAATACAACTGCACTACTGGCTGTTCGGCAGCCTAATGGCCCAGGGGAAGAAACTGCCTTGAAACACTGCCTGAACCTACATGCATCTCCTCTCTCCATATAGCTGTATTTGCTAGAAACAGACGTGGCAGCAAGTCATGTTTTTATTGTTGATCTCTTTGTATCATCTACATAATGTTTATTTAAGCAGTAAACAGACAATACAGACATTTGTATTGTGTAAAAATACAATGTAACAAGAAACTGCTTTCCCCTCACAACGCGCTTGTGTCATGTCCATTATTAAATAACAAGCATTGTGGAGAGATTCTGGTGTGAAATGGGCTTCAGGAAACGTTACATCCAGCATCCAGTTTCCCACTGTTTCACAGCACCTACTGACGTCGGTCTGTATTGTGGTCAAACTGACACAAGAAGGGAGCGCTAACATCGTTCCTCAGCAGCCACACTGACAAGGCTGTCTGCAGATGTGTCTGCAGACATGTTTTGTTTATCATCCTCGTGAGTGCAGAATCTAAACAACTTGAAGAATGTGTTAAAAATATCAAAAGCTGGATGACCAACAATTTCTTTCTTCTTAATCCTAACAAAATTTAGGTCCTACTACTTGGACCGAAAGCAGAGAGATC